GCATAAGCCCACCAGCATGCCTACTGTCCTTGTCCATTTGTATTTACTTATTTCATGTGTTTATGGCTGTTTTGCTTACTTATATTCATTTATTTGTGTCATTTTTCATGTATCCATGTCCATGTCTATACTAATACTTGTTTCCTTTAATTGTTGACAAATAAAATAATAATAATAAATAAGTATGCATTGGTGTCCTCACCAATTTACATAAGAGACCTTGCCTTGGTTTAATGAAAAGACTATATATTTATTGTCAATAGTAAAATACTATTGCTGACTATATTATGAAAATCCTAAGTGAAGAGCTACTGGACTAAGTATGCACTGATCTTCTTACCAAATTAACAAAGAGTAGTTGTGTTGATCTGAAAGTCCTTGATGTGGGATCAGCCATCTGTGGCCTATAGACCAAATTGGTCACAGTGAAGTTGACCGTAAAGCATTCAGTTGCCACTGGAGGTTTGGAGGTGGGAGGAGGAGCTAGAAGAGATACAGTGAATCTCAGATATTGAAACCAGAGTTCATAGCATATAATCAATCCATCAATCACTATTTTGTATTTTTCACTTTCTGTCATGGACACGGGATTCAGTGGTGCATTACAGAAGTTTAAGAACAGGCAGATGCTTTTCACACTTTGAAAGTAACTTTTCTTTTATTCACGATTTTTTTTTCTTTCAAGTCTTGTCTTGCACTCCCTTCCCCTCATTGTTGTAAGCCGCCCTGAGTCCCCTCAGGGAAAAGGGCGGCATATAAATCCTCAATAAAATCCTAAAAAATCCTAAATAGCCAAAAAAAGATTGGGAACCACTAGTCTAATGTTTTGGGTTGCTCGTATAGATTGTTATTTGGCATAAACACTCAGTTCAATTGGAGGAGAGCAGTGGTAAAATTCAATTTTTTTTTTTACTAACAGTTCTGTGGGTGTGGCTTGGTGGATGTGGCAGGGGAAGGATACTGCAAAATCAACATTCCTTTCCCATTCCTGGAGGAAGGATATTGCAAAATTTCCATTCCCACCCCACTCTGGGGGCAGCCAGAGGTGGTATTTGCCTGTCCTCCGAACTACTCAAATTTTCTGCTACCGGTTCTCCAGAACCTGCTGAATTTCACCACTGGAGGAGAGGAATTATTTTACTTCCCTCCGCTAGTTCCAAGTTTACTGCTTGATTTGACTGCACATAAATAACTAGTAGCCATTCTATTTCCTACATTTTTCCCCTGTATAATTTAGTGAAAGCTTCTGATTTTTGTAGGGTGCAATAAATATTAAGTTTTTGTGTGAGTCTAGGAAATCTTTTTAGGCACAAAATACTATTTGGCATTATTTCTCCTTTGGCTTCTTTTTGTGTGCTTCAGTTCTTTTTCTTTAAATGTGGCCCATTTTGAACAGGACTGGCAAATCTGTGACAAGTTAGTTTCAGACCTTTAAAAAGTTTGCTTTCTTTCACAACCCTCCCTCTGCTGCCTTTCCCCTCCCTCCCCCCAAAATATTACATGTTATCATAAGGTGCTCATTCGCCTCTCTTGTATTTCCTTTCCAGGAGCTTCCAGGACCCCTGCCTCTTCTTTTCTTCTTCTTGCCTATTGCTTTGAGCATAGTGTGCAGCTCCCACACTGATCCCCACTGTTAAACCCTTTGCAGATTCCACTCTTCAACAGCCCTTACCAAGATACTGCATAAATCTAGACCAGGGGTGTCAAACTCACATCGTCATGGCAGCGTCACATGACGTATCGAGACTTTTTACCCCTTCACTAAACTGGGTGGGGGTGGGGCCAGCACGTGACGCATCTGGCCCGCAGGCCATGAGTTTGACACCTCTGACCTAGATCAGAGGTGGGTTGCTGCTGGTTCAGCCAGGATGAGGCGAACCGGTAGTAGCGGTGGCGTGAAGCTTCGCCTACCCACCTGGACACTCCTGTGCATGCGCAGAAGCTTCTGTGCATGCGTAGAAATGTTGCGCACACGTGCAAGTGTGTGTGAGCACATTCAAATCGGTAGTAAAACAATTGGCAACCCACCTCTGACCTAGACATTCACTAGCTCGCAACCAAGGCATTGGTATTTCTTGCCAGGTCTAGGATGGGAACACATTAAAGTAATTATATGGATATTGCCAGTGTAGTTTAATGGAATACCTATTGTTGCTGGTTTTGGTTTCACAACATCAGGAAATTTATATGGTGATTGGGCTTATTCATCTACTTTTTAAAAAATCTCTTGAGTTCCACCCATCGGAACCTGGGACACCCATATAGCACTCAAGAATTCAGAGCTTAGGAATGTATTTTGTTTAGCAGAATTGAATGCAGCTGATAGTCCAGCTCATGAGAATCCACTCATTATTAATCCATTAATTTTCATTTTAGTAATGTAATTGGGGCAACTGGTGAGTGAGCCATACTGTTAGTATTACTTAAACTATTGAGAAGCAAACTGCTCTCCACTATGATTAATTTCTGGTTTTCCCTAGTTTCTTCTGTGCCTGATTTAAAATTATATTGCATTAGGATGTTTTTCAACAGAAGTTTCAATAATGTTATCCAAGTCTTTCTCTGGAAGGTATGCTTATCTTTCCTGAATGGAATGCAGCCCATCCAGGTTAAGCTGTTCATTGACTTGAAACCTTTCCCAATCAACAGTGACTGAAATATCCACAGTGTTGCCGGAGCAACATTTCTTTTGTTTGGCTGGTGTTTGCAATCACATAAATAGTAAAGGCAACTTGGGAAAGCAACATAACAAGCACCTAAGTAGTTTTCTGGCAAATCACTTTAAGAGCTTCTTGTACCTTTTATCACACATATCTGGAATATTTTTTCCCAAATTGGAAACACTCCTGCTGCACCCAATATATTATCTATGGAAGAACAGCATGCAACTAGCTTGATGGCTTCATTATGGACAATGGTTTGGCCTAAGTTGAGAAATCCTTGGGCTAAATCCCAGAGACTTTCTATGTAAACGTTGGCCATTCCATGCTTTCTCTCCCTCCTACCTACAAATGTCTCTTTCTCGAGGAGAATAAGTTAGGTAGTCCAGGGTGAAGGAAAGCAGGTTCTCAGATAATTATACCCCACACCCAATAAAAGATTTTCGTTCCTTGGATTTGTGTTTTATTAACTAAAACCATGCCCATTGATGATTACCTCTGGTTTCTTAAAGACAGACAAAAGTGATGTCATTAGTTCGCCACAAAGTGCTATGGCTGCAAAGAAATTGATGTTTTGATTTGTATTGGACTGTACGAGATAATAAATTAGCAAAATGTCCACTATTCTGTGGGGTGATTTGGTATGTAGAGAGGATGGATTTGCATTTGTGGGGGATTCCATGAAGGTTCATGACACTAGTCCTTATCTATGCAGTTCCATTCTGCACTCTGTTTATTGGGGTTATCAGCCTCCAATGAAGTGTGCAAGCTCAGACGAGTGGTTGGGGAGAGAAAATTGGGACACATTATTCCAACCTGAAAGGCAAGGTTTCGAGATGAATGAATGACATTTTTTTCCAGTTATTTTTTTCATTGTTTCCTTTTTAAATAGCTTAAGACTTTATTTAGCACAGCTGTATTTTAATACAATGCACATACACATACACAAGGATATTGCATTCAATGACATCAAATGAGTTGATTCTCACTGAATGGCTATTTGAGCCACAGAAAGTGAGCAAAATGAACACTGTGAGTACAGAAACAGAGAGCTAGGACTTTACTCAGATTTAGTATCTAGTTATTGTGAAGATCTTTGAGATCCCATCTGATAATTGCAGAGAAGTCACCCCCATAGATCAGATGACAATGTAAGTAACAGTGCAGATAATGTCTCACAAATGACTCATTGCTTGTTTCTTTTGTCACTTAGGAACAGCAACACAAAGGCAGTGAAAATTATAACCCTAACACTTCCTACCAAGGGGAGAGGACCTCTGTACTCTCAGTGGCAGAGTCCAGTTTGTTCACCTCCCTGCAATAGTATAATACATTAGCTTGTAAAAGAACCCCACGCAGAAGGCGACCAAATACAGGTGGTCGTCAACGTACAAACACAATTGACCCCCAAATTTCTGTTGCTAAGCAAGAGTGAGTTTTGTCCCATTTTATGATCCTTCTTGCTACGGTTCTTAGCTCAATCACTGCAGTTGTTAAATTAGTAATACGGTTGTTAAGTGACTCTGGCTTCCTCATTGACTTTGTCAGAAGGTCACATAAGGTGATCACATGGCCCTGGGACACTGCAACGCATCTGAATTTTGATCATAAAGCCATGGGGATGCTGCAACGATCATAAGTGTGGGGAAAAAAATCACTTTTTTCAGTGCTGTTGTAACTTTGAATGATCACTAAATGAACTGTTATAAGTGGAGGATTACTTGTATTTTTGTTGAAAATGGGGGAAGAAGAAATACGTGGAAGATATTCTCAGCAAACGGAATCATGCCCATCCTCATAATAACCATATTTTTGTAATGGTGAGAACAGTCCGGAAATATCACATGTCCTTTTAAACCATAACTGGAAGGGTTTGTTAACAGAAAACCTCATTGTTTAGAAGTGCCCTTGATTGTTATGGGGATGAAGACCTATTTAATCATCTTATTTTAATAAAACCAGTCACCTGGGCATCTCTAATATTTAAATAACAGTACAGTAGCACGAATGTCTGATCCCAGTGCGTAGACATGTTAGCTAAGGCTTTTATTTTAATGCAAGAATGAAAGCATTATATTTCAGTAAGAGCAAAATAAGGGCTATAAATATATTATCTCGCCAAATGCCACAAATATACTCAGACAATAATTTCTGATTTTTCATTTACTACTTCCTTCTTAGCACAATATCTGATTTTCAATGGCAGTGTTTGCATAGGTGTTAAAACCTTTGCTTTAGAAACGGGTGAACACAACACTATGGCTCCTTATAATAAAGGCAACTTTAAACATCCCGTTTACTGTTTTCATTATCAAGATCAACGGTTATTTAATAACCATTGTTAGGATAATCACTCAACTGTTTTGGCCTTTTTCTCTCCTAATTTTCCACCTGGCTTTCTGCTTCTTCGGTGCAGTTTCCTGACTTCACGTTGCATAAAGTTACAAGGTAAGTTGCACAAAATGCCCTTCCCTCATCATATTTGTGTCGGAAGCATTCTTCCCCTTCTTTGGCTTGTTTCTGTACTGCATTTTTGTTCAGGGACAAGTTACAGTGAATTCATTTGATCTCTAGGAGTCAAAAACTACTTGACGGCACATAAACAAACAACCAATCAGTCCTATATATCTATGCATTAAATTGCAGTTGCTTGTTATTAGTTCCCATCATTTGATCTAGCTTCATCTATGACATTAGGGCTGTTCAGCTTGTAAAGTTCTGTGTCTCTATTACCCACACCTAATACCGGGAATTGCATTCCCTTCCATGGCACATAAGACAAACTATACAAAGCGAAGATATCAATTAGAGGTTTGTGGAATTGTAGGAAGAGAATGCTGCTAATTTATAGTAGCAAAAAAACTCAGTAGTTGTCAAAGGGCCTAGTGCAAAAGAAGCCAATTATTCAGCCATTTTGTTCAGCAATTGAAACTTTCTCCTTTTCACAGATTCTACATGTTTGCCTATTAATTGGCCTTGTTGCAGAGGTGGGTTGCTCCTGGTTTGGCCCGGATCGGCAAAACTGGTAGTGGCAGTGGTGGGAAGCTCCGCCCACCCACCCGGACGCTTCTGCACATGCTCAGAAGTGTCACGCGCATACGAGCAAACCAGTAGCGTCTTGTTACATTTATTCGAAGCTCCAGTTATCTTCAGGCACCCTTAATCTAACTGTCTGTACTGCATTGGGACACAGCCCCATACTCTCTATAACATCTGACTTTGCCATCTTCATTTTTAAAGATGGTAATTTGCTCTTAATGATTTTTCTGAAATAGCAATAGCATTTTTAGACTTATATACCACTTCACAATGCTTTACAGCTCTAAGTGATTTACAGAGTCAGCATATTTTTTCCCAAAAATCTGGGTCTTCCTTTTTACCCAACTCGGAAAGATGGAAGGCTGAGTCAACCTTGAGCCTGGTGAGATTTGAAGTGCCAAATTGCAGTCAGCCGGTAGTCACCAAATGTAGCCTTCAATACTGCACTCTAACCACTGCGCCACTATGGCTCAAAAGAAATGGCCAAAAGGTTATATAATTCCTGTTCATGTCCGAAATAATGAATGGCTGATTAATTGATGGAGAACAGAGAGACAAATGACATTAATACAACGCTTGGAATTAAATATAAATATCCTGTTTTGGAAGTGGTGCATTTTCATACTTATCAAATTCAGTCCTACAACAAACCTGAGACTCGGGCCCTTAGCTTTTGTACCATCACAGATAGGAATAAGAGAATGAAGATATGTAACTTCTCATCCAACCAGCTCAACCAATTAGTCTATGGTTAAGCTGTACTTTTAATTTCTTATCAATTGTTTTTTTTAGCTCTGATCACCAGATTCCTAATTTCAGTTTTATAATTCTGGTTATAGTTTGAAAATACAAGAAAAGGCATATGCCACTTTCTAGGTTTATATAAATATACAAAAAATATTCACCCACCTGTTGCCATGTCCCCAGAATTACAACATGCTAGCATAAACATAATGTGGTTATGTTTTGATAGAGAATATGAGCGAAATTGGGGCAAAGCGTCATTAGCTTGTTTTCAACTATACTTTTCACATTTTCCCTCCTCCTTCTTCTGCCTGCAAATTGCTATACAAAACTATGAGTTAAATGATAGTTACTAATATTTCTACCCATTCCTAGCCACAAGTTCACCTCACTGAAAAGCAAGCATTAGATCTATTTTCAATTATCTGCAGCTGAATTGCTGTCTGTTCAAAGGCTTGAGTGAAGATTTAAATTTGAGACTGTGCTCAGAGCTTACAATCAAAGATAAAAGGATGCATGACATTGGGTTCTACAATGGCCAGGCAATGTACGAAGCCTTTGCATTGTGCTTATCCATCTGCATAGGTGTGCAAATAATAGAAATGAAGCAACCTAAGAGAATGTTGAGGCATACAAAACAAAACAGATTAATAACAGACTCAGCTAAAAACAGCGCCTTTAGGAACTGGCTGGTGAGTTTTCACTAAGCATACCTGTGTCCATTAAGGTTCATGAAAACCTTCTAAGCAAATGAAAAAAAAATTTTTTTTTGCCTTTAAGAATGCAGTGGATTAACTCAAGAGAGAATTCCTGAAATCAGCCCAAAGATCACCAATGAAGTAGACTAACTGGCTTCCATCTAATATGCTTTCTTGCAAAGCCTCATGCAATTTGCTTTAATGCATATTTAAACTTTGGTATATATGTAAATAACAGAAAAGGTACAACAAACAACATATAGTAAATAATACTGGTTAAAAATTATATACTGTTGGCTTATGTTTTGTAGCAGTTAACATCTGTACTATAACTGCAATATTAGTCCCCTCACCATAAAGTATAGCATTAAAACATGTTCTGAACATGACTCACAACTTATAATAGGCAAAGAAGATTGGGTAAGCATCTTCAAGCCTGCAGAATTCTGTGTCTTATCGTTATGTTGATAACAGAAACTTTTTTATGGATTCCCCATCCACAATCCATCAGTCTTTAGATGAACTTAAGCTTCTAGAATGTGGAATCAGAGTCCTATTCATGTGTTTGTGAGACACTTACTTTGTGAATAGTTGTAATATAATAACATTTCACCAGAAGAGGTGATACACATCAGAGCAAGGTAATGGGATCTGAGGATGCTGGCCTTTCACTCATTTCTGTTGTCATGGCTTATACGCGGATTTTTCATTGCAACTTCATCTGCGTTGCTGTAGCTTCTGGAAACTTCGGACTGATTTTCTCTTTCACCACTTTGGCCTATATAAATTCCAGATGGGGAATGCCTTCCGCTTTCAGAACTGGCCGCTTTCTAGAACACCTTCAGCCTTGCTGCTTTCAGTTCTAGGGTGTGAGGTAACTGCACATTTATAACTGTAGTTTCTAGAAATCATGCCCTCTGTACATTTTTCATTTTCTTTGTCACAACTAGTAGAAATATTGGCCTCTTCGATATCTCTGCTTTCTTCGTTGGAGCTTCTTGATAAGAAATCAGCTGCTTTAAAGCTCCCACTTTCTTCACTGTGACTTCTAGAAAAGCTATGTTCAGCAGTGTCTTCCTTCTTTCTGTGAACCTGAATAGGAGTGGAGGTCTCTACAGGACTTATACTATCATTGAGATTTCTAGAAAAGCTGACTGCTTGTTCATGTTCGATTCTGGAACGACCAGACGGTAAGACACCTTCCTTTGTCTCATTTGCACTTCTGACATCATAATCTGGACATCTTTTATCCCCATGATTTTCTTTGATTTCTTTACTCTGGTCTTTCATAAGGTCAACATCCAGAAATCCTCCTCTTGTGCTGTTTTGACCTCTGGAGGAATCACCTTCCAAAATGCCTCTGTTGATTCTAGAAACCACAGCTTTGACGAAACCACTTCCATCAGTCAGATTGCTAGAGTAGTCAGTTTTATCTGGAACACTGTGAGGTCTGGCAAAAACACCTTGAGTTAAGCCTCCTTTTCTGTTGGCGTAGTTTTTAGAAAAACCACTCTCTGATTTGCTTTTTCTCCCATACACAAAAAGGCCAGGATTGTTACCTGGGATGTCTCTGTTCTCTGTTGTGTGGAGTCTAGGAAGTTCAGGCAGTGAAAGCTCTTCATTTCTGGGACTAGGATCTCCTGAAATATTACTTTCCAAAGCACTTTCTCTTGCATTACTATGAATTTTTAAATCCGTTTCCTCACACAGACCTTCATCTATACTAGTAGGACTTCTGATAAACACACTGTCACTTAATGTTGTACTTCTTATACTTGGGGTTCTAAAGCCACCATCCTTTGAGACAGATTTTTTCTCATCACTAAGACTCTCAGAAACACTACCCTCTACATAGGCTGTGTTACTATTGCTGGGGTAATTATGAAGATTGCTCTCCTGTGTACCTTCAGTGTGGCCTTGACTAAAGATGGCATCTGTAGAGTCTTGACTTTGATCTCTTTGTATTTTAGAAAAGTCATCCAGTGAACTATTTCTGCTGGCCTTGCTGTTGCTTTCTGAAAGGCCACCTACAGGGACTCCACCATCTTCAGTGCTTCTTCTTCTAGAAAGCATAGGTTCAGCAAATTCTTCAGGGATGTCTCTAGATTCAGGTTCATCGTTCTGGCTTCTAGATAGGCTGACCTGTGAGTTATCCCTGTTTATCTCACTGTGAGTTCCAGAAATGCCACCTTCACAGATCCCATCATCTTCAGCATTTGGGATTGTGGAAACAGGTTCGGCATATCCTTCATTTTCATGAACATTTCTGCATTCATTTTCATTACTCTGGCTTCTAGAAAGCCAGCCTTCTACATAGGACGCGCTAGTCCCACTATAACTTCTAAAAAGGCTGTCTTCTGAGATATCACCACTGAGACTTCTAGGCAAAGCATTCTCTGTAAACTCTCTGCTGCCTTGGCTTTGAGACCGGTAACCAACTGGCACACTTTCTTTTCTGCAACTATGGTACCTACGTCCAGAGGAATTACTGCTTTCCCCACTTTGAGTTCTGGAAAATTCTGCACTTCTCGGACTTGGACTTCCAAAATCAGAGCTCTCTTGGATATTGTCACGCGTCTCACTGGGGGCTCTGGCAAATAGAGTCTCAGTCAGGGCTTCATTTTCATTGTGACTTCTAGAAAGTCCAGTTATCAAACTGCTTCCACTATGGATCATTTTATTTGTCAAATCTTTTGCTCCTGATGCCACATGTGGGACATTTGGGATGCCAGAGTCGGGTAAAACTGCAAAGGCAAAATACAAAACACAGGGTTTTTTTTCTACTTTTCAATGTTATTTTCTATCTTACTTTTGCTTTCAATACTCATACACCTGAATTAACATAATTTTGAAGAGCATTCCACAAGTTTTTGATGTTGTATTCCACTAGCTTTGTATAATCTCAACCCATTCAGTTGTTCAACATTTGGGTAAGCAAATGAAATTTGAGCAAATGGTTTGTTTTTTAAATGATCATTTCAAAGAAATATAAAAGAACAAACTTACAGCACTTTGGTCTGGAGTAGATTTTGCTAATGAATGCAGGTGATGGAGACTCCATGCTGTGATTAAAACAAAAACAAATTAGTTTACTTTATTGTCATTGCACATTGTACAATGAAATTAAATGCCATCTTCATTATACATTAAAAAAATAAAAATACAAACATACATCCTTCACATTCTGTATAATTAAAATTGAAAACCCGATATTGCATTAATATTGCACTATACTGTAGAATTTAATATAGTTTCTGCCCTGGGATAGAAGCTGTTTTTCAGCCTATTTGTCCTTGTTTTTATTGTCCTGTACAGATGGTAATAGTTCAAAAAAAAAAAAAAAGGGTGCCCAGGATGAGATGGATCTTTAAGAATGTTTTGAACTTTCTTAAGGCAGCGGGAGCTATAAAGCTCTTCCAAAGAGGGGAGAGAGCAACCAATGATCCTCTGGGCAATGACGTTGACCCTCTTGAGTGCTGTCCTATCTGCCACTGTGCAATTGGCAAACCAGACACAGGTGCAATGTATGGCTTGCCAATTATGGTTAGCTCAATTTTACTATAAAATACCAGTTTTTGGAAGAAGCATATAGCAATATAAGCAAGACTTAAAAATAAGGAACTTAGGAACCTTTTTAGGTTCTTGAAACTTTGAGGATTCTCATTCTAGAAAACTAAACACTTTCTAGAATAACAGAGGCCTGCTGCCAGGATGGAAAACTCTATTTCTTACACCGATATATCCTTAAGAATTGCAGATATATGTAAAGAATATTTGTCACTGGTGCTTCTTCCTTTTTCTTTTTAGCACTTAATAAAATAGGTGATAGTAAATACAAAGGTATTTGCAACTCTTGAATCTTTAGAATTCCAATGAACATGCATCTCTGGAATTCTAAGTACCAGACGATTCTATGGCATATTTTGTTAATATCTGTTAAATGTGTTAACTATCAAACCTGTGCAAATTCAAAGACCTCTCTTCACGCTAAAACCACACAAACTCTAATATTCATCCTTGACTTAGAAGGAACCTGGATTGGATTAGATTGCCATGTGACCTGAAATGGTGGTGAACAGCTTCATTATGTAGATGCCCACACTATGAGTGGGAGCAATGCTGAAGAACAGGGGTCCCCAATTTCTGGTCCACAGCCTGGTGCTGGCCCCTAGCCCATTTGGAACTGAGCCTCAGAAGAGGTGGTTGAGGACGCATGTGCGCATGCACGCTGAAAGCTGCATTTGTGAAAGTGCCGCATGCATGCACGCAAAACCATCCACTCTCCTTCCCTCACGCCACTGCCACCATTGGTCCACCGAGCCTAAAAGATTGGAGGCTGCTGCTATAAAAGACATACAATAATAAACATCTGGATATCTTCAAAACATGAAGACAGCCAGAGAGGGGCAGAAATCTGTATTTTGGAAATCAATTTTGAACTAATCTTTGGCTTTAGTGTTATGTTTCACGACAAACATCTAGAAATGTAGTTCAATTGACCAATGAGAAAGCCATGTTAGTCTCTGATAAAAATAAAATAACAGTATGGTCAAAGCTTTTCCGACTAACATTTATTACATCTGATCATTTGAGCTATAGCTGCAAATTTTAATTAAAAAAATAATGTTATTTGGACAAAGTGCTACCAGACTTTAGATTTAGTGATCAAGGATTTTAGGATTCAGAACATTAACTGTATCTAGTGTCAGTATCTAATGCTAGAACATGCAGGATCTAGAATGCAGGATCAGGGGTATCAAACTCGCAATGACACATCATTACGTGACATATCACAACTCCCCCCCCCTTCATTAAAACAGGGGTGGGTGTGGCCAGCATGTGACGCATCCAGCCTGCAGGCTGCAAGTTTGATACCCCTGATCTAGAATGTTAGTTCTTCAGGCAGAAGTAACTAACTCTACATTGTAGTGTCTGTATCAAACAAACTATAGTTTTTTTTCAGAACAAAAAGTATGGTAATATAAATCTGCTAAATGTTTCAATTTTCCTATTCAAAATCTGAATCTGATGTTTGAAATGCAAAGTTATATTCTGAATATTTTTTCCTTTAGATTTTGACATTCATGCAGCACAACATTTCCTGATTTTTTAAATTTTATTTTGATGTTGAAAAAAACTTTCCCGGTATGACTTGCTGTAGGCATCAGATGTTTGGAAATGAAATAATTTCTGAAGGAAGTTCAATTTCTCTCTTGAACAGATATTTTGGAGGCAAATTAACCTAAGTTCTACTTTCTTTTCAGGCTATATATCCAGAAGCTTCAAATAAACAATCTTACCTGATTTCTTCTCCTTCTACTAGTTTCCTGTAAGTGAGAATCTCAATGTCCAAAGCCAGCTTGGTATTCATCAGCTCTTGGTACTCCTTAACCAGCTGAGCCAAGTCTTGCCTGGCATTATAAAGGGCATCTTCCAATTTTGCCAGTTTTGCTTTGGCATCGTGGAGGGCCGTTTCTCCTTGTAGACCAACATCTTTGATGTTATCTTCTAAATGTAGACACTGGGTACACAGAACATCACAAGTAAGGGAAACAGCTTGGTGATTTCTCAAGCCCCCTATTTCACCTCCATCTTCCCATTTGAAATAAATACAAAGTTGAACTGGGAAGGAGACAAAAATGTCTGCATGTCAGTACTTTTCAGTAGTAGATGCAAATTGTGGCAAGTCTCCAAGCACACAGACAATCATAGAGAAATGTCTGCTCGTGTATCTTCACCAGCTCATTTTCCTTTACCACTTGCAATTTTCCTTTATTACCCCATAAACTTTAATATACAGGAACAGTTTGGTTGTTGCGATTAGCTTGGATAACCATCATGTTTGAATACCTCTAAGCAACACAGGAAAAGGAAAAACATATGTAATTATATTTCTTAATCAGATACTACATCAACCACACCAAGTAAATAAACAAAGCTGAGTGGGCAAATATGGTCAGATGAGCTTCCTGGACTTAAATTCTCCATTAGTAATTTTTCTCTCCTTTGTTCTTTGAGATATTAATATTCAAAACTTCTGTCATAAGTGCAGACATTCCTGCAGACCATCTCTCCCAGCCTGGTTTCTGCCAAATGTTTTGGGCCACATTTCTCTTCAGTTCCAGCACATCTGGCTGGGGATGATGGAAACTGATAGTTATAATATGTGGCGACTCACTGACGGAGAAGTAAATTTACTAAGACAACAACATGGTACTTAACTATATCATGGCACTCTCAACATGCATAATGAGATCCACACAAACCCAAATTAAACATATTTATACCTATTCCTATACCTATTTATTTATATTTCATATTTCTGAACCACCCATCTCTCTCAGATATATCTATACTTATACACATGTGAGCGTACACACAGACACTCTTCTGAGAGCCAGTTTGATCTAGTGGTCAAGGCTTCAGACTAGAAGTCAGGAGACTCTTAGTTTCAATCTCGCCTTAGGCACAAAGCCAGCTGGGTGATCTCGGGCCATCCACTCACTCTCACCCCTAGGAAGAAAGCAAGGGCAAGTCACTTCCAAAATCTTGCCCAGAAAATTACAGGGACTGAGCCAGGCCAGGAGTCAACATTGACTTGAAGGAAGTAAAACAACAACAACAAATATATTCTCATGTGATCACAAACACTTTCGTGTTGAAAACTTAAAATGAGATAAAATAACCAGAACCTCATATAATGTATAACATTATAGGATTTTGGTCATGTTTTATTTTATTTTAGGTCTTTTTTTTTTCATCCCCCAGACCAGTAGTGGCGAACCTTTTAGGCACACAGTACCCAAACTGGAAGGCGCATGTATTGGAGTGCTGGAAACCCGATGACCAGTTTGGTGAGGTGGAGTGGTGGCATGTGTGCCCACAGAGAAGGCTCTGCATGCCACCTCTGGCATGTGTGGCATAGGTTCGCCATCCTGGCCTAAGACTATTGCCAAGAGCATAGATTTCATTTGCATATTTCTATGTATTTGGGGAGGATTATGATTTTGCAATATTCTACCAGTCACGTTCTTACCTGGCTTTTCAGAGAGACAATGCAAGACCTCAGTTTTTGGATCTGTATATTTAATTCAGCAATCAACCTCCGATCATTAAGGAGATGGTCCCCATACTTAGCACATAACACTTCCCTTTCATTCAGCTGAAGGCGAGAATTAAAAGAATATTACACACAGTAAGGCTTCCTGCCCCACCCTCTTGCAACACCCACAGCATGGAATATAAAGTCACCCCTCCCCACAACTATTACTTTGTTATCCTTAAGGGCCATATTCACTAAAGTCAAAATCTCTCTGCCTCAAACATCTGGAGCTCTAGACTCAACATGCCCAGACCATATACAGCAGTGGTGGGTTGCAGGCAGTATGGGTGTATCGGAGCCTGCCCGGAGCACCGGGTACCGTTCCGGTATGGTGCTCCGGAGGGCCCATCCGCCTGCCTGAGCTCCTTACCTGTCCTTTAAGCCTTCGGCGCTTCCGCACACATGTATAGCGTGTACAGCACCTGCGTGATGCTCTGCCGAGCAGCTAGAACGTCATGGAGGCTTGCGAAGGCATCGCTGGCAGGTACGCTGCATGCACGAACTGGGCATGTGTGTGCGCACACCGTGCACGTCTATGTGGGCAACGCCAGGCCCATTCCAACTGTACCAGTTGGAATGGGATTCGGAACCCACCACTGATATACAGTAACATTAGGTTTGTGACTAAAACAGTATATTGAAATGCTTTATATCTGAATATTAATCTATTTTCTGCTTTCTTGTTAGCATTCATATGAATTCTCTTATTTTCTTCTCTGTTCCCATTTTTTGCCTCATCACTGTATTTGATCCAGATATTTTTTTACACCAGATTTTATTTCTTTCTTGATGTAGTTGAAGCTCATTGTCATATTTTCTGTCGACCTCCATTTTCTATTTCTTTGTGCCATGGTTTTAAGTTCAGTTAGGCATGAAGAGCTGTGGCAAAACCAAGGATCTGTAAATTATTCTCCTTTTGCCATGGTATTCATTACAATTGAGGTTCAGAAGAAGCACTTAGGACAATTTTAAATGGTACGTGAATGTATACCTTGAGTCGGGTAAGTGCCTCCAACTCTTCCCAGCTTTTCATAGCCAGATCTTCATACTGAGCTCTCACATCCTCCACAATTTGTTGGGGGTCAGGAATGTATCTGTTGTTGTCAATCCCCAGCACAACTGAAACATCTTTGACCTGGGACATGACTTCCTCAAGCTCCTAGATCAAAAGGACATGGGCTGAGATTAATATGCAAATCATACATTAAGTTTACAGTGGTTAGATCTGGCAACTCAGCACTGGAAGCTCAGCTATGAATTGGATATACTGTTAATTAATATTATGCATCCATTTTTTTGTGTTTAGTGTGCCTCATACATTATCATTAGTAATATATGATGGTAGATATGGTAGGTCAGTATTATTACCCAAAACGCAGGTCTGAAATTCTATAAAAGCCCCTCCCGAATGTTGAGTGAATGTTGTGTTTTACCGCTAATTATTTTTACTCACATTTTCTTTTTGTGTTTTTGTCCTGCACTCCCCTCCCCTATTATTGTAAGCCGCCCTGAGTCCCCTCAGGGAAAAGGGCGGCCTATAAATGTTTAATAAAAGTAAAAAAAAAAAAAAGTATAATGGAGATCTACAAAGAAATTATTTTCTGGTTAAGGAAGAAAGCTCAGGAAGAGTAGATTTCCAGCTCATATTCCTACAGCAGCATAAGAAAAGCAAGCAAGCGAATAAAGATCAGATTTAACACAATTTTAAAAGATTACTGCTAGATTGTTTTTTTTTTTTTTGAAAACGAGAAACTTCTCCAGAGGGAAGACAGCAGAGTGAACCCTGAAAACAACTTTCCCAAAAGAAAGGAATGGGAATTGAAAAGTGACATGGAATTGGCCATTGTGGTAAGGAGTTTAAAGTCCTAAGTTGGAAAAAAAGGTGGAGAACAATTTGAAGCAGGTTCTATAACTTTGAAGCCACTCTACTCCTGTGACATGAATTATAATACCACAAAACTGACGCATATATGACAGCAATGCTTGGAAACTGCAGTCATCCCCCAAGTTATCTTATCAACCATTCTTAGAACAAATAGAACATCATTCAAAATTTATTTATGACCCAAGACTGGTATACAATGCAAAAACTATAAAAAGAAATGCAAATGTATCTTCTTCCCTTGCCTTCCTTCCATGTTATCTTTTTAAAAAAAACAGAATAAAGCAACTCTCTTATCTCTGGTGGATATTCAGAGTGGCTGATGTTATCACGATAAAGGGGAAAGAGGCTTCAAGGTCACTTCCAAAGAAGGCAGATTTTCCAGCATAGAAGCTTTCACAGGAAATGTCGCAGTGATTAAACCACACAGACACAACCTTGTATCACGAACAGGCAGGCAAGACCCTGCATGAGAGTTCTGAAATCAGAACCCTTTGAATGTTTGGCTAGTCCTAATGTCCTACTTTCTTGAGTTTTTACTTGCCTCCAGTCAAAATTATTTATGATCGCAAAGGTCCACAGGGTTTACACTCCTGATCTCAGGGAAAAGCAAAACAAAGCAGCAACGTTATAACTTTTTTGTAGTGATTCTCAGCCTGCTTGGAATGGCCAAATCTAGGAATGGAAGGCACTGTTTATCATTTGACAACATAGCATTCTGGCCACAGGGTTTATTGCCTTTGAAGCAATTAAGATTGTCAACTTTGGGAAGTAGCTGAGGGATGATGTCAAGGCAGAGGCAGGGTAGGTTCATGAGGATGTGTGTTAGAATCTGGTTTATGATGATTGGAGCTGGAAAAGTGGCTTGTCAGCAACTAGGGTATTTATTGCCTAATGTTGTTTACTAAAAGGAATCAGCAAAATGCTTGCTGGGTGATTTGCTGTTGCAAGAGCTATTGGTTACATGACTCAATCATCTCATATGATAAAGGAGAGGAGAAAATGCTTAAAGTTCATAAGCATAATCACAGTTTTACTTAATGACAACTTCACTTAAGGTCCAGGTTGTGGTCACTAAGTGAGGGCTATCTGTACTCAGGCACTCAAGTACTTCATTCCTACAACTAAAAATCTAAGATGTCTATCCCAAAATTTCTTTCCTTTTCCTGATAGATTGAAATTGCTTTTGTTTATTAATTAAGCCCAAAGCAGTAAGTCATAAGGCCCACAAGACACATTACCTGTTGCATTTTATCTATCAAGACTAATTCATCAATCCAGCTGCATCCATTTTAGATGCATGCAACAGAAATACATGCCAGCAATGGAAGTTGATTGACCTCTGGGTGAGATCCTATGGTAGATTAGGTTTTCCCTGCAACCCGTACCAAGATCAGTACCACAAGTGCCATCGTACCAAATTGCAGCCAGCAAATGGGTTCTGGGTGATGAGAATCTCCAGAAGGAAAGAATGATCAGGGGATTGCCCATTTTGACTCTGGATAGCTGCTCCTCACAGGGAGACTACAAGAATTAAGTTTCTTGTGCTCATCCATTAGTTGAGCAGCTTGGGAGTTAAGAGGATATCAATCTGCCCAGAACTACGATGCAGCCTTTATGGATGTATAACTGGCAAGAAACCTCACTTTCTTAAACTCTCTGGATATAATTAATTTACAACCTAAAGGAAATATTCCAAATGGCAGAAAAGAACAAAGACACTCAAGTGAGTTGCATTCTGTTTGGAATTAAGAAAACAATATTATCTTAAAGGATTTAATTTAAAAGTAAAAAGCTTAGTAAGATTTTAATTCAAGAAAGTTTTAAATGGATAAAGAGGATAGTAATTTCAGAAAACAGAAGAATTTTTTTTCAAAGGCATTTCAAAATGCCTTTGAAAACAGTAACATTAATTAAAAGGACCTTAGTGGGAATGCTGATTGCTTATTTTTAAGGAAAGTAGATTGTTGAATTTTACAAAACAAACAGGATAGTATGAGCCAGACTGGGTAATGTAACAACAGAGAGTTAATTGGGACTAAATGGCTAAACAGAGAAAAGCCATGCAGAAAAAAAGGAAAAGCTTATCTTTTGCCTTCACTCTAGTAATTCACATACTTTCACTTTCTCATATAGCAAGTACAAGAAAAGAAGCAAATTTGGAGAAGGAAGGAGAGGTTCACTACAGCCCAGTGGTGGGTTACAGGAGGTACGCCCTCATATGGGCGTGCCGGAGCCTGCCCGGAGGACTGGATACCGTTCCGGTACAGTGCTCCAGAAGGCCCACCCGCCTGCCCGAGCTCCTTACCTGTCCTTTAAAGCCTTCAACACTTCCGCGTACGTGTATGGTGCGTACAATGCCTGTGCAACACTCCGCCGAGCAGCTGGAGCATCACAGAGGCTTGTGGAGGCGTCACTGGCAGATAAAATGCGTGCGCATGTGCTGGGCGCATCTATGTGGGCGACGCCGGGCCTGTTCCAACCATACTGGTTGGAACAGGATCCGGAACCCACCACTGCTACAGCCATACATTTTTGCAGATTTCTTACAGAAAATGTTTGAGGCAAGAAGATAACTGCAATGGATGGATGCCAATTGTTTGGATGTTTTTAAAAAAGGAAACGGGAGAAGGATTTGCAGGAATGAAAGTGGATATGAAAGAGGAAGTTAAGAAGATTGAAGAATCTGTATGACAATTAACTGGAGATCTAAAATAAATTAATGACAAGGTGGAAGATTTGGAAAGTAAAATAAAAGTTATAAATAGAGAGATGGAGAAAGATTTGGACAATTTGGCTTTACTGGAACTAAGAGAAAAAGAATTTAGAGTGCACCCAAAAGAATATTGAGAGGATATCAGAGAAAATATCGATAAGTCCCTGTTTAATTTCCTGTGATGTTGAGGCAGAGATTGGTAAAGTTTTCAGGATTAATACATGATTTGCAAAATTAAGAAATTTTCCATGGGATTCCTTGTCCACTTTGTCAGGACTAGAGAAGAGTTTTGAAGTAGTATTTTAAGCTTGAAGAAGCTTCTTGGATGAGAAGCAAAATGTCCTCAAAGAAAAAACAGAAAGTCCAGTTGCCTCTTGAAAAAGCACCTTTGGGACAAAGAACTGGATACATTGAGAAAGGACAGCAAATTACCTCTGCCAGTAGTGCTTTTCATTCTAGCAATTGAATTGGATAAGAATAAGGAAACCCTTTAATGCGACATAAAATGGAAAAAAAGAAGGGTTAGAAACAAGTATAGAAGGCAGCCCACATGTACTTCTTAGACAAGCAATCAACCAGCACGCCTCCACCTCTTTCCCTTTATTGTATTTAATACAATAAAGCTTAAGTGAATGGAAATGAGCTCAGAGGCCAAGGCAGGGCAGGTGAGCTATTCTTGACAGAGATAAGAAGGCTGTAAAAATGGGGGATTTCATAACGGCTTGTTTTATGAAGCATATGCTCAAGGCTATGAGAAAGATGAATGCCAGTCTGATTATGTATATGTATCTAGATCAGTGAAGAGGCTGAGCGAGTAGCAGGGGTTTCTTTATTGAACCAGGTGAAAATAATTAGGATGAGTAACAGATGTACGTAATTGCACACTAGGTGCACTCAGGAATGCCCGTGATTGACACAGATTACTGCGTCTGCTTCTTGGGTGCCACCATAACTGCTTCACGTAACCTAGAATTAAGTTAAGATACGTGTACAAGATATTGCAGGTTACAATTGATCTGGCATGTCATGAAGCTAATGATTAGCAGAAAGGAGGACAGCAGTCCAATGTAAACATAATAAAAGAGTGGGAGTTGATTCACTTTGCACATGCTCCAAGGCACAAAGCCTGAGGAGCTTTATGCAGATATGAAAGTTTTCAAGTCCATCTCTGAAAATCTGTATAATGGTCACTTTATACTTTGCCTCCTTATTATTTCAGCCATCTTTCCAAGCTTCAAATTTGGTTCAAATATTTATGGTAAGCTACTTGTGACAGTACAAGAAAGGGAGGAGATAAAATCGGGGGGAGGGGGAAGAGTAGATCTGCTGTTTAATTTCCCAAGATAGGTCAGTTCCACCTATTTTTAAGCCTGATGTTCCTTGCATCTAGTAATACAAGCATCATCCATGTGCAAACATATATTTGGCCTTCATGAAGTAAATGTCCTTTTCTTTGGGGCACTTCCAAAATTCAAATAAGCAGTAGTAGTCGTTAAATGATGATCATACTAGTTGTTATTAAACGTAAATGTTGGATATTTATTATAAACTAACACCACTGCAGGACATTCCTTCTCTCTCTCTCTCTCTCTCTCTCTCTCTCTCTCTCTCTCTCTCTCTCTCTCTCTCTCTCT